GTCGTTTCTAAGTCACCAATTTAGTGCTACTTGGTCCCAATGGGAAACTACTAACACTAAGTTGCTAACTGGTTAGCAAGATGCTTCTGACAAACCGGCCACAACCAATGCACTTGCGAATCTTCCACCACAACAATCCCGCCCCCTTGATAAACGACCAATCACATTCACTTTATTCACTCGTGTAAAGTTTTGCACCACTCGGGAGAATTCGGAACTGCAACCGTTGGAACAGCTGCTTCCCTTGTATCCTATGTTACATTAAATATCCCAGGATTCATTGCGAGTCCAAGCAAGCCAGCTTCTCCGTGATCAGAGGAAATGGTACTTGGTGCTAAACATTGGTGAATATTGAAAGTTCAGTTTAATATAATACAAGTATGTGAATAGTTCCGTCTGAAACTTATGAAAATAGTTGTTTTAATGGTTATAGAGTCAGATATGTGGCGGTAATGTTTGATTTATGAAAAATGCTTTTATCTGTTACTGTGTAAATGGATTTAGGTGTAATTTAAGGACAGATTCTAAAATATCTGCAGGACTTTAAATCTGATAGGATTTTTATTGTTTTTATTGCTATTTTCCGAAATTTTGCTATTTTGTGTTGTTGAATATAAGATTTTGTAGATGTATATTTTTTTTATACATGCATCCTTTAGATTTACTTATATCTTTCTACCCCTTTTATATCATTATATTTGTTTTTATTTGATGTTTCTCCCGGTGGTTGTCATTTTTATTCCACACTTTATTTTTATGAGTTTGTTTATGTTATATAAAAAAAGGGAAAAAAATGTAAAAGACAGTTTTAAAAAGTTCAGTGTTCATCTTTTCCTGCATTGTGCGTCAACACTCATGGTTGCTAAGCAACAGAGGTGGTGAAAGCCGCTGAAGGCTGGACCTGCCAAAACTCTTCCTCTGTATGTCTCTTTATTTTCACGGACTTCGAGGAATGCAGTCCAGGTAGGCCGCGTCCTTTTGCAGACGCAGCCCATGAATTTAAATCCAGCCATTGTCTCTCAGACCTGCTTCATCTGCTGCAGCACCAATGTTGTCCAACAGGTTAGCGCTGCATGTTTGGCAGACACATTTAATGCCTTCCTTTCAATCATTTTTAAAGCTTCACTTATTTTTCTTGGCCTTCAGCACAACTTGAGTTGTTTGTTTTCCTTTCCCTCCAGTCAGCCATGTTGATTTTATGTACCTGTTTTATTTTATTCATATGAACAGCCCTTCAGAAAATGTTCATTTTGTTTTGTTTTTCACCCTTTGAAGCTTGTACCATGAAATAATTGACAAAACATTTTAGTTTTTCAAAATTAGAATGTCATTGAACCTTCTGAAAAATTCAGTACAAGTCAGATTAGATCATTTATTCGCATCAAATTTGATACATAAGTCAATTCTGTATAATTTATATTTTCTGTTCACTAAATTTGTCTGAATTAGGGGGAAACCCTGTTTGCTTTTTTAAGGCTTGGCTTAAAACATTCATTTATAAATCCTGTAGTTAAAATGTCTCAGATTATCCTGGGCAATCTCTACATTCTAAACTAAGTTATTGAATAGAATAGAAAATCCTTTTAATGTTCCACAATGAGGAAATTCTGGTGTTTAAAGCAGCAAAAAGATTATAGAAAAAATTTTCACACAAATGTGGATGTTAGAAAAATTTATAAGAATAACATAATAAAGAGTTAACAGATAAACAATTACTGTACAGTAAAGTGTTTTAACAATATAAATACGGTACACCTGGAGAATAGATAAGCAATATACAGCTATGGACATTTTTTACAGTGATGGTTATTGGAAAATCAGAGATGTACAAAATTACATCAGCATGTTATTTAACTAAGTTAGAAACTGCAAAATGATGTATCTTAACCAATTCTTAACTCTTGAGGAGAACAGAGATTAACTTGATGTTTTTTCTGACTTTACTAGCAGAACTTTACCAGCGGAAGGAAAAACCAGACAACTTCATGGGGAGTGAGGAAAAGGGTGTATATATGTGAGACTGAAGAAAGACAGGACTAATGAGCTGATTGGGAGCAGGTGTGAACACACTGGAAAAACAATCTAGAAATAAGACTTTATGATGACTTTATGATTTTATTTTGTCATTTTTTACAAAGTTTTTGGACTGTGGGCAGAAGTCGGAGTACCCAGAGAGAACCCACACCAGTGGCGGCAGGTGAAAAATATTTTTGGTGGGGCTGATATAGCCTACTGTATGTCTCCAACTAATCCAGAATAATAATTCAAATAAACAATTGGAAATGAAATACAATTTAAC